GTTTTATATATAATAAGTTAAATTCCTTAAATATATTATTATACTAGAAGAAGTTTAAATAAATCTAGATAAAGTTACTGCTATTTAAAATTAAAAACTCCTAAAAACCTATAAGGGATTATAAAGTTTTTTAAAATTTACTAACTATTACTAAAGATTTATTTAAGGATATAGTAAAATTATAAAACCATTAACTAATACTATTTAACTTAAAGAAAATAAAAAAGGTAAGAAAATATAAAAAGACAGGAAATTATCTTAGATTAATAACATAAAGGCAGTATTTTAAAAGCTTAAGGAAGCTATTATTAATAAACTAATACTTACTATATATAACCTAAATAAGCCTATTAAAATTAAAATAAATGCTTTTAACTTTACTTTAAGGGGGACCTTAGGGCAATAAAATAAAAATAAAAGACTTAAGCCAGTAGCTTTCTTTTCTAGAAAACTATATAGTTTAAAACTAAAATATTTTATTTATAATAAAGAATTCTTAGTAATTATTAAAATATTTAAGGAATAGTAATACTATTGCTTAAGAAATAAATATAAAATTAAAGTCTATACTAACTATTAAAATATATTCTACTTTACAACTATATAATAACTCTTAGTATAATAAACTTATTATTTTAAATTCTTAATAGACTTTAATTATAAAATTATTTACTATAAAAGAATAAAGAATAAAAGAGCTAATGCTTTAAGTTAAAAAAAAGAATATTTTAAAGAAATCCTAGAATTTAAAGCTTAAATCTTATAAAAAAATAAAAAAGGCAATTATAAATAAATATATATTAATAACTTATTTACTATTAAAAAAGATTATTTAATTTTAAATAAAATTAAAGCATAATTTAAAGGACTATAACTAAATAACCTTTTACCTAATGACTTTCTTTAAAAAATTACTATAAAAAACAATATATTAATATAAGAAAATAATAAAATCTAGGTCCTTAAAGAACTATAAAATAAAGTAATAAAGGATGTATATAATAATATAATTACTGCTGTATATAAAGGCATTAAAACTATTTATAAGCATTGCTAATAGTATTATTATTTTTAGGGAATAATAAATAAAATAACTAATATAGTCTTAAAATACAACATTTATTAATAAGCTAAAAGCTTTTAATATAAGCTATATAAATAACTATAACCTTTACCTATGCTATAATGCCTATAAGAATCTATTTTATTTAACCTTATTATTAAACTACTACTATTAAAAAAGCTAGTTATTAAAACTTTATATAATAGTATTTTTATAGAAGTATATTAATTAATAAAAATAATATACTTTTTACTCTTTAAAAAAGCAAGTAATATAAAAGACTTGGCCTATATAATAATAAGATTTATTATAAGCAACTATAGACTACTAAAAGAAATAATCTTTAATAAAAGCAGTATCTTTATATTTAAATTTTAAAAAGCACTTACTGCTAGACTTAAAATAAACTATAAAGCAAGTACTATATATTATCTATAAATAAATAAATAAATAAAATACATTAATTAAATAATTAAAATATACTTATATTACTATATTAACTTTAAATAAAATAATTAAGTAAAACTTTTATTAATTATTTAATTTACTTATAATAGTATATTATTAAAATCTATAGGAAAATTATTTTTTTTTTTAAACTATAGATTTAAACCTAAAGCCTATAGACTACTTAAGCAAGGGGAAGATATTAAAAAAGCTATTATTAAAGCAGAAGATATAATTAAACTATATAATAAACTAAGAATATAACTTAAGTTTATTTAATAAAAGATAGTTAAATATATAAATAAATATAGGCTTAAAGAACTAACCCTTTAGGAGGGAGATATAGTCTAGCTACTTTATTATATATAAAGTAATAAATAAATAAATATTAAAATAAATAGGCTAAGTAATAAGCTTAACTTTAAGAAACTTAAACCTTATAAAATTTTAAAGAAAATTAAAAAAGTAAATTATAAACTTAAACTTCTAGAATAATAGAAAAAGTAAGGAAAATATATATATCTAATATTTTATATTTTATTATTAAAAAAAGCATAGATTAATAAAAACACTAGAGAAATTATCTAGGATAAAATTATTATTAAAGGAGAAGAAAAAGAATATAAGGTAAAAGATATTAATATTATAAAAACAGGGGAAAATAGTAAATAATACTATTAAGTATAATAAAAAAAGGAAAATAAAAAAAAAGAAATATAGAAACCTATTAAAAATCTTATAAATATAATAGCATTAGTAGAAAAACTTTATTAAAACCTAGGAATTTTAATAAAAATAGATCTATCTTTAGACCCCTTAAGAAATCTACTTACTTTAAAAAAATAGGGCTGGCCTTAGAAGAACCACTTGCTAACTGCACTATAGCAGCCTAATGAATAGCCTCTGCTTTTTTATGCTTAATGTAATTTAATTCCTTTAAATTTATTATACTTTGCTTAATAGCTTTTTTTATTTTTTTATACTATACCTGCTTCTGTTTCTAAAGATAAGCTACTTTTGCAGCTACTTTAGCTAGAATATCCTTAGCCTTTTTTAACTTCTCTTTTAAATAGAAATGCTAAATAAAGATATAATTAAGCTAATTAAGCATTAAACCTTAAATATTATAATAGAATTTATTTAAATAAATATACTTTAAATAATATAATAAATTTAATAAAGAAACTAAATAGGATTTATAATTTTTTATAATATAATAAAAATAATGTTTATTAAACTTACCTGCACTAGATATTATAGCTTTTAATAAAAAATTACATTACTAGGTTTTTTTATAAAGAAATCTTTTAGTAATTTTATCTAGTATAATAAAGGTTAGTAAAAAGCTAGGAAGAAGCATTAATAAAGAAACTAAAGAATAATTGTATTTATTAAGTAAAGGATGTATTATTTATACTAGGACTATAAGGTCTTAAGGATAAAACTAAAAAGAGAGAAGTATTATATTATAACCTAACTCTTATAGTTATAATAATAGGCCTATAGGGTAGGCTAAACTAGATTAATATTAGAATAATAGACCAATTAAAAGAGATTTATTAACTTAATTATTAAGTTAGTAAGTTAACTTAATAGAATTTATTAATAAGTCTTATAAAATACTATAACTCTAGCTTATATAACTAAATATATAAGTTTACTTTACTATACTTATTTAAATAATTTAAATAGCTAGTTGTTAATATAGAACCAAGATTAAAATATACTTCTAAAGCTTACTTACTAGTAATATTATATTATTATTATTGCCTATAGATCTCCTGACCTATCCGCCAATATAAACTATAAGACCAGGTTTATCCCTTAGAAATCTTCTAAGCTACTAACTCTTATAAGACTTTAGTGACCAGGTTGTTACAAAAAGTATATTCTATTAGTTTACCTTTCTTAAAGGCTTTTAATAAAAAAGTTAAATTATTTTATAAATAAGCTTAGTATTAAATTTAAAAATTTTATAATATTTTAATTATACTATTTGTATAATAGGTATAGGGTAGGTTCCTAATCTATAACTCAAGCTATTAATTTATATTAGTAAACAAATATATAAGATATTATAAGCAGTTTTAATTATATAGGTAATAGCTTTAGATAATAGTTTAATTCAGTTATTATACAAAAACTATATTAACAACTAACTACCTAAGCTATATTTAATAAGTGTAATAAATAGTTTTATTTAGTAAGTAATTCCAGGTAGCTTATAGTTAAGCTATAATACATAGGCTTATAATAGCTTACTTTATGGATTCAACAGGGTTGCCTATTAAATATAATCCTCTTCTAATAGGGCTGTTAGTCTGTATTTATTCTATAAGTATATACCGCCTGCTAACTAATAAATAAACAAGTAGCAGGGTTATAATACTATTAGTCTTAAGTTATTTTTTAGAGTATATACCTCTAGGCTATTATTAAATAAATATAAGTAATTAAATTAAGAATTACTATTAATAAATTATTACTACTGCTTTTATATTACTGCTATTGGTATTTTGTCTTTAAATTTATAATTTTTTAAATTTAACTTTACTGCTTGCTTACCTGTTAATTTTTTTATAATATTTTAATATTATATAATATTTAATAAGTTTTATTAAAATATATAAATAGTTACCTAGTATTAAACTATACTATTATAACCTAAAACTATAAGATATATACTCTAGATATATTATAGACTAATAAGCTAATTAAAGGAGGATTATAGCTTTAAAAGTAAGCCATCTTAAATAGATTACTATTATAGAAGTAAGCCACTGTAAAAGGATTATAATTTAGATCGTAAGCCTTATAAAATAACTTACTATATAAAACTATTTATTATACTTATTAAATATAGCTTAAATAGTTAATTATTAATATAGTATTTATATAATAATTAAATTAAACTTTTATTTAAAGTTATTAGCTATATAATTAAAACTATTTATAAAATTTTTTATATTTTTTTATTAATATAAACCTAATATTAAAGGTTTATTTTTTAAAAATTAATTATTTTATACTAGATATAGGACTAGAATATTATATATATTTTTTATAAATAATAAAAAAAAAAGTTTTTATTAAGTAATATTATAAATTAATATAAAATAAATAAATAAGCAGCTATTTTTTTTTTAATTATAAAATAAAAAATAATACTTACTATTTAGTATTTAGTAATAAAAAAGCAATAATTATATAAAAACAATATTAGAAAGTAAATAGAAATATAAAAGCAGAAGGGGTTTTTATATATAAATTAAAGCTATTTATATAAATTTAAAATAGTTAACTAGTACAGGATTGCTGATATAAGTTATATTGGCCCTGTGAAAATTGAATACACGGGATCTTGTAGACCTATGGAGCGCTGTAACAGTGCCCAGGATTAGCTAATACTTCTTAAGCGGGGTATTCTATTTCAAAACAACAGCCAGAAAGCAATTTGTATATTTCTTCTCCATACTACACTCCATACTAGTGGGTTTTCAGTATTCAGCAATACTCCCCTAGGGTCCTCATCATGGCTCGAACGAAGCAGACCGCTAGGAAGAGCACAGGCGGCAAAGCGCCTAGAACATCTCTTGCCGGGTCTTTGCCCTCCTCTAGGAAGCCACCACCCAAGCCGGAGCACAACTATCTAGAAGAGGCCCGACAGCTTGCGGGCTGGCGTCAACGGGCGACGGCGATTGATCCTCCAAATGTGTCTGTGAATCGAGATGAGTGTCTCTTCGACATCTGGATTGACGCACTACGTTCTACGAGAATTCTTCTATTATTCTGCAAGCCTGATATATGCATCCATTTCAGCGGTCGTGTATATAGGTTGGATAAACAAGACTTTGATGGCTTTGTCGCTCTCGCTCATGCGGCATTAGCAGAGTGTGCTAAAATTGGGAATCTCTTTAACTGGTCGACTGCTACCTGTCAACCACATTCAAGGCTTAGAGTTGTTAAAGGCACCTACACCACCTCCGCGGGCCATACTTACCCAGAATTTGCTGAAGCCAAGTATACTAGCTTTCATCCGTGCCCGCCTAGACAACTTATGACCCAGGCCACTAATCTGGAGTCTTCAGAAGAGGATTCTTCAGAAGAGGACCGGCTGCCAGAGCTACATGCTCTATCCGCACTACTTTCGCTCGCCTATGTCGGGTATTCGGCAGAGTTCAATTCAGAAGCACAGAACGGCCCAATCTCTGAAATCATGAGAATGTTTGAAAATTCCGTCCTTGGTTGTCTAGTAGAGAGACTTGGTGGAATCGAAGAAGCAAACGAAGAAGCGACTATACAAGAAGAAGTTAATGCACAAATAGAGTCAGAGCTTCAGCAGTATTTGGAAGATAGCCAACCCAGTCCTGACTGAACAGTACGTCTGGCGCCCGAAGGACTTAGCTGTAAAGGTTCAAAGAGTTGTTATCTGTCCATTACCTACTCGAACGAGTATATCAATTCTGAAACGCGGCCTGACCAGAACCCCTCGCTGGTTAGAGAACGAAAGAGTGAGTGGCCGGATGCGTAACTAGAATATTTAATTTAACACCATTATCTTTTGACTTCTAACTGACCAGTCTCATGACCGAGCAATATTATATTCGTTAGTATATATTTTCCTGTTTGCAGGTTTTGCCTTATCGAAGAGCTCCGGGGCACACTTCGCATTTCAGTTTCTAACTAAATATATCTCCCCCTCCAGCCTTTATTTACATAGAGCGGCTAAATCATCAGTTAACTATAAGGTAAAAACTAACAATTACAGTAGTTGTTAAAAATAAAACAGGTTATAAAAGCCACCGAAGTTTAACCTCCAAAGTCTCTACAGCAAGTGGGTGGTAGTTTTACACTAGCGGGGTACACAGTTCAAATTTTCACACAGGTTAATAATACTACCACCCATCACAATCACAGAACTACCATTCATAATTGGTATGGCAGGGAAGGGTGGGTTTGAAGAGCGACCCGGATTGCCCAGGGGTCTTTTCTTGCAAGACGACTTTATTAGCCCGGAGCATGAGGAGCAACTGGTTCACACCTTTCTCAATGAACTGAAATGGCCCCAAAAGACCAACAGTCGCCTGTCATTACACTATGGCTACACGTTTGACTACAAGACCTTTGGGGTAGACCCGGATATCCCATATAAAGAGTTTCCCGACTGGCTCATACCATTAATCCCCACAACGGAGGCTCGACCACCTGACCAAGTCTGTCTACAATACTATCCGCCAGGGACAGGGATCCCGCCACACGTTGATGCTCATCAGGCCTGGGACCAACTGTACGCGCTGTCTATCGGGTCGCCAACCTTGATGCAATTTCGTAACGGAGATGAGCGCGTTGATATAGACCTAGTGCCGCGGGGGATGATGAAGATGACTGGAGATGCAAGGCTGCACTGGACTCATGGCATTAAAAAGAGAAAGACAGACATTCTGGCAGACGGGACAGTCAGGCTTCGTGAGAATAGGTGGAGCATTACGTATCGCTGGATCAGGGAGGGGGACTGCGAATGTGGAAATGTTATATTGTGTGATATTGCTCAGCAGCGACTTGGGATTGAAAAGGAAAAAAGGTCTGCAGTAAAACCTGATACAAGAAAATAAAGTAAATATATTTTATTAGCGGGATAACCCTCTGACAGCTGTTTTACACTACTTTGCTAGATTGATTGCTAAATATTACCCGTTGGCTCCACCCCTAATAACTAGTTAGAGCCAGAAATAGGACAAGATCTAGAGCGAGAAGATCTTGTTAATGTCACGATTATGAAGAGGGAGGGTTTAAGAGGCTCTGTAGTTACTTCACCATTTATATTGGCGCAGTGGAAGCTATATATATGAACTCTGTTTCCCCTTTGTTATACCTTAGACCTTATGATACTAGCGAATATAAACGAGTTCGGGTTTTCCCCTACTATTAAAACAGGTAATATGTTCCTATTATTTATTTAGCAAGAATAATAAATAAAAATTGAAGTATAGTAAAAAGCTACTATTAAATACTTCTCTAATAGTGCTTAAATTATTGTATATCCTTAGAAGAATTGGAGAAACTGATCGAAGGAGTTCAGTGATTAGAAACATAATATATAAGCATATAACCTCTGCAAGCATAGTCGCTGATAAAACTCAGTGCAGTAGTTCAGGTACACCTTCTACTAATGAATGTACTATCAATTAACTATAAAGTACCAGCATCTAGAAGTAAATAGCAGAAATATATACAGCGCCCGTATACCAGTAATAACCAAGCGCCCAGTGGACAACCTTATTTGTAACCGGTAAACCTTAATTCTTTACACTCAAGTTTGCTTTTCGTTCTCTAATTTCTGCACCTGAGACTTTTTATTTAGATATGCAATCAGCAGAGTTGCATAGCTAATATTTGCGAAAGTAGGTATACCCAGATATAAAGGTAATATTAGTTTATTATTAGCTAGCCTCTATTGTATTATTATTTTACCTGAAGATCCCTTGAGCTATAGGTATGAAACAAGTAGTAAAACTAAGTTAAAGAAACTGGCTAGACAGGTCAGTGATTTTTCCGAATAATATACTATTACCCTGTATCTAAAGACTAATAGTAATAATAGTAATATATTGTTTAACTTAAGGTGTAAATGAAACATAAAGTAAAAGTAAAGCTATTATATTTAAAAGGAAGAGTAAAAGTTATTTATCTCTAGAAGTAAAAGAATAAGAAACAGCTATCATACAGAATCTAATCTTCGTTCACAGGTCAGGACCCTGTGGTATAATTCTCCCAAGGACTAGCTGGTGTAGTATAACCTGGTATATTACAGGTTATAATATAGGTCTTTTAAGCAGTTGGGATTGGCTGCATGGGAACAACTTCGTTGTTCATATTGGGTACCGCCCATCCTGATGCCCAAGTAATACCCCTAGCTGGCACTGCAATATTAGTAAGGCCGAAGGCAGAGATTAGCTTTTTACCAGCAGCAGTTTTCTGTAAACTTGCATATTCCTGCTGTGACGTCTGGCCAACACCGGAACCCCAGAATAAACCATCAAGCATTAAGGCAATACTAAAAAACTTATTGGAGTCGGTATTGAGTACAGAATCCCGGTTGTTTCTTATAGCGTGTGATGCAGCAACGCCATGTACTGAAGGGTATGTAGAAGCTATAAGAATCAAATTAGTAAAAGCCCGACATAAGTTGCAAAGAGTTAGCTTACTATCACCAAAACCATCACTCCACAAGGCATGCGTGTAAAGGGCGCCGAGCCAACTCTTACCCGCTGCTTCAAGCGTCGTGCCACTAGCAAATGTAACAGGTCCCTTGTTCGTAAACCCTAGTGGTAGATTAAAGTTCTTTGTACAGAAAACATGATATTGAGTCCAATTATCAAAATTCTCGACCTTATATCCTGACAGGCCGTTTGTCGCGCATCCGGAGGTGGGAAGTTGAAGATTTAACGTAGGGTTCCTGCTGAAATCGGCTGCGGCATGATTGTAAGGGTCCGCTTAGGCTGGTTAGTAGTGTAGCCGAATTACTCTGCAAAATATTGAACACTAACTGAAAACAAGCGAGCCGTTGCTGCTCTTCGACAAATACGGGGCATCATCGCACATCACGAAGAGATACGGCTTGTAAGTGCTAGCCCATTGATATTGTATTCCCCAAAGGGTCCCTTGTGGAAACTTGTTAGTATAGTGGCCCTTACCACTTCCCTAACCAGCTATCTAACTTACAAACCACTTCCCAAACGCCCAACGCCACAGGTGTCGTATCTGTATTATTGCCGAAGAAAGCGCCGTATGTTGAATTCAATCGATATCTCTCCCAAGCAAGAACATTGGCAGGGAGTGTCGTCTGAGACTGTTTGCTAGGGTGGTTCATACGATACAAGTTTGCATCTGCAATCTGACCAAGGATACCAACAGCAGTAGTGAAGAGGCCGCCAGGGCCAGCAGCAGCCGGAAAGCCATTGGACTTAGCCCAAGGGTCACATGTTGTCGCATCAACCCACACCGGTGTACCGGCGATTAGTTGAGCAACAACTGTTTGAAGACTCCCAAGGGCCGCCAGGATGGCGATTGTCGACGTTTTCATTATGGTTGGTATGAAGTAATTGGTATGAAGTAAGGAACGTATAAGGTTAGAAATAATAAACGACTGTCATAAGCAATGAAGGGAGCGAAAAGCGAAAAGAATGTCAACTACCAAGGCAGTGGGAAAAGGCAGTGGGAAAAGGCAGTGGGAAAAGGGAGCGGGAGAATACAGTGGGAGAAGGTCGTAAAATATACTATCCAAAAATCCGAGCGCGCTCTAAATATAAATATTGTATCACTCAGGCCCAAGCCACTCAATTATACCTGCAGTAATCCGCCACCCCCTTATATTAATCGCTATGTATTTGAAATCCACTAATTTCTTTTTTGTAATACTGTTGGTGATATAGCTAATGATGTAGTTGGTGATGCAGCTTATAATTAATATAAGTAATAACTGAATACAGTTACTCCCCCTGGCTGTCGACCTAGGATTGAACGCCTAGTCCTTTATTATACAAAGAGATCTTAGTGGGGGCATACATAAAATAGTAAATTACAGCCAAGAAAGAGGAACCAACAACTAATTTGTCAGGCCATTCTTTAATTTGGATAAAAACAGCTCGCAAGGGTATATTATCCGATGTAACACAGACGGGATACAACCAACAACCAATGGCCATTCGTGTACACACCTTTATTTCCTAGCACACCGATCCTGCCTGTTATCCCTCTATATAGAGTTACATTCCGGATCCATTGGCCGAGGGGCTAGTTCCGATAGCTGGCTAGGAAATCCATAGAGATTTAGTACCTGGCGTTTTTAATTCTATAAAGAAAAGATTTGAAAATTAGAATTCTTTTAATAATATCTACTGCTTAAAATATATATTTGACATTACCTTAATTAAAAGTTATTTTATAATAAGCTTTCTAAGGAACTAGTTGTTATATATAAAGAAAATTATAATAATTTATTAAATTATAGGGTTATTTTTATTGTAACTATCTCGGCTTACTTTAAGTAAAAGTAATATATTTAGTAATTTATATTACCTAGAGACCTTTTTATTTTTATATACAAATATAAAATTATATATATTTTATATAGTTAATATATTTAAGCTTTTCAGCTAGAGTAAAATTAATTTTATTTTATGTTTTTTTCTTTTATATAAGTTTATTATAACCCAGCTTTAATTTTCTAGTATTACTAAAATATAGCTGGCAATTAATAGTCCTTTACTATTTAATTACTTTATATATATTTATTAAGTTATAAAAGACATCTGTTGGGCAACAATCTGAATATAGAAGCTTAGAATAGACTTGCATTTGGAAGCTGGCTGTTAAAATTTCCCTTATTAACAACAAATACTCCTCTACCTACCTTCCTTTTTACCTCTCCTGGATGTTTGCAATCTGAGCAAAGGTTATATAAACTAGAGGGTGCATGTCAATCCTAATGCTTGGCTACCCTTTTTTTTTTTTAACCCTTGCAACTAACTCAGGGATATAGTCTACAATTACACAAGCCTATAAGTATAACATTCTGGTCCTACACCTAGTATAGGGTAACTAGTTCCTAAAGGATAAACCTTTAACATTGGGTTTATATTAGCAGAGAGATATAAAAGATTTTATAAGTAGTTTTAGTTATATAGTTAATAACTTTAAATAAAAGTTTAATTTAAGTATTATATAAATACTATATTAATAATTAATTATTTAAGCTATATTTAATAAATATAATAAATAATTTTATATAATAAGTTATTTTATAAAGCTTATAATTTTAATTATAATTCTTTTATAATAGCTTACTTTTATAATAATAATTTATTTAAAATAGTTTACTTTTAGGGCTATAATTTTTCTTTAATTAATTTAATAGTTTATAATATATTTAAAGTATATATTTTATAGTTTTAAATTATAATATAATACTTTTTTTTTATTAATTTTATTTTTAAAGTTATATATATAATAATATATAATTTATAAATATATTATTTTTTTTATATTTATAGTTTTTATAAATTTATTTTTTTAAAAATATTATTATAATTAATAAAATATTTAAATTTATTTTTTATAAAACCTATATATATAATATTTTTATATTATATATTTTATTTAATAAATTTAATTTAAATATATTATATATATATTATTTTTAAAAAAAGGTTTTTTATTATATAATTAAAGATTTTTTTTATTATTATAAATATATAAAGCATAGCTATTTTTATAATAATATATTAATTATATTTTTTTATAAATAAATATTCTTTTTTTATTATATAATAGCTAACTTTTCTTTTAATAAGAAAAGTATTAAATTAATATAAAAAATTAAAAACTAAAGAAAAAGCAAT